TTGTATTCATTTCTGTTCAAATTTCTGGGATGAGGAGTCATCCTTATTTACATGCGAACCATTTTCCTTGTCTTTGTTGTTATCACAACGTTTCAGCCGTTATGCCATCCCGCCTTCATCAGGTATGTTTCGCTCCGGGTAACCTACAGGGAATTTTGAACTGAAGCCTTTACCTACGGGAGTAGATTGCTCTCGTCTTACTGGCCATGTCTAGTGATATCTCGTCTAGTTCTTATTTTTAGTATAACGAATTCAAGTACACAAGGCTTACGGTCACATCACGTTGAAACATCGGTTCGATGCGATTACCGAAGTTAAGCAACGTCAAAACTAGTCACTACCTGAATGGGTTACCGCTTGGGAAGACCAAGTGCTGCGAGCTTGAATGTGTGGGTAGTGATAATCGCTCGGAATTTTTAATCATAGAGCCGAGTTCCATTTCCAGATGGGTTAGTTAAATTCACATAAGTTCACATTTGCATCCACGGGTTTAATTGATTGATTACACACACACGCGCGCGCGCGCGCGCACATTCTCTCTCTCATACACACACACGCACACACACTCTCTCTCACACACATATATATATATATATATATATATATATATATATATAACCTAAACATGAATGAAAATACCAATGTTTCTGTATATATATATATATATATATATATATATATAAAAGTACACAAAAGTTCCTGGTAATCCTCTTTGAATTTGGGGGTAGCTTTCATTAGAATGGCATCAAGCGTCTATGCATTTTTAGAAAGACAAATTTTTATAAACAAAAATATATTGTAATAATCAAATATATTGCTTACTTGCCGCTATATTCCTAAATTTAAAAAAAGTGTGCATTGTAATGGCATCCTGTTGGATAGTGTATTTATTTTATGTTTAGTTTGAAATGATGAGCTGTGAAATTTTTGCGCTTTTCATTAATCCAATTTAAAACTTCTCACCGATGTATTATATTCAATTTAAAAGAAGTTCATAAATTTTTCAAATCTCATTCTGTGCCAGCCTCAGCGATACAAGCCCAAATAGGTGCCAACATCAAAATCCGTAGCAAGACAATAATTTCTTTTTTCCTATTTCGTTTTTGATTTCTAAATGAAAGATCTGAATTTATTCTTCTGTGAGCTAAAAATAGGCAAAATGTTACCCACTTTTTGCCTTCACACGCATACACATATAACAAAATATTAACACAAAATATAAAATTTAGAATTATAAATTCGATTTCGCTTTCGCTTGACTTGGTGTAGTTAACAAAGAAACACTTTACTTTGAGGTTTCATGCGAAGTCTTGGGTTGGTTATGCTTGTTGTCCAGAATCTGCGTCAGTCAAATAAATATGAAGTTAATTGGAGAATTATTGCTTCTCTGGTAAATAGTCTAGAGATTAGATAGATCTGAATAGATAGATAGATAGATAGATAGATAGATAGATAGATAGATAGATATAGTTATTCACACTGCATGGTGACCATATCTAAATATCACTTGAGGTATTAACCTTTTAATCACGATGCAGTGTTGATTTCTATGTCTACACTGTCTATATCTATACAAACTCTAGGTTCGATAGTGAGCAATTTTCCAGCATAAATGCATAAATCCATAAAATGTTATATATATATATATATATATATATATATATATATATAGTGTAACCCGGATATAAGAGAGTTGTCGGGACCGGAGACGAAGTCTCTTATATCCGGTTTCTATTTTATATACCAACATACTAAAAAAAACCGGCTCTAATTTGGGACCAGAGAAAATCTCTCTTATATCCGGGTCTCTTATATCCGGGTTACACTGTATATATATATATATATATATATACGAACGCACAAAACTTCGTGAGTTTTAATAATTTCATACATCTATCACCATTTTTCGTTTTAAGTTACCAGAATTTTGGGGTTTTCCGTTGTATATATATATATATATATATATATATATATATATATGTGTGTGTGTGTGTGTGTGTGTGTTTTCCGTTGTATATATATATGTATATATATATATATATGTGTGTGTGTGTGTGTGTGTACTTCAAAAGATATTTTAGTGGCTACCAATGCTTGTGTAGACGCCTCATTTTTTAAACGGCGTGAATTAGGTCTATCGGCCTGCGCATACGAGAGACATAATAAAGAATATGAAAGCCGGTACAAATAATACAGACTTTTTAAAAAAAACGAGGATTCTACTCATGCATGGGTATCTACTAAAACAATTTTTTGAGCAATAATAAGTAATGCTAGTTTGAAAACAAAATCCATTAATTCTCTACGAATATATATATATATATATATATATATATATATATATATATATATATATATATAGAGAGAGAGAGAGAGAGATAGAAATCTCCCAAGTTTTCATTCGACCTGCAAAGTCATTATGTATATATATATATATATATATATATATATATATATATATATATATATATATATATATATATATATAATTGGTATATACGGAATGAATTCCAATAACCAACAATTACTATTCTTAAATGAGTGCTCAATACAAGTAGAGCAGATATAATTATTTTTATAAAAAAATTATAACATAAGTATGTTATAAAATCACCTGATTGTGATTTTATAACATACTTATGTTATAATTTTTTTTTATATATATATATAATTATATATATATATATATATATATATATATGTGTGTTTCTGTATGTGTGTGTCTGTGTGTCCGTCTGTGTGTATCTAAAGAGCTAAAGTATTAATGGATTTATTTTTATCCGATGTCTTTATTACTTCCAACGTTATTTTTACTGGATACCCAAAAGAGAAAACACCTTTTTCTTTATTAAGACTCTTAAAATAGACGTCTCGTTTTTTATTTTTGTTTGTTTTTTTTTATTTTGTTTTTTATTCAAACAGTTTGCATACGACGTGTCAGTGAACGGGTCACAGATGACGAAAAGACTTGTACCAACAGAAAAGATGCTGAGAATACCAGGGACCGAACGTGCAAATACCGAACTTTGAGATAAAATGGCGACAACATCAAAAAAAAAAAAACACAATTGAGATTTCTAGGGCAGATAATGAAGAAAGAGTGCTTGAAAAATTTGATACTCACAGGACAAATTGAGGGCAAGAGGGACAAAGGAAAACAATGCATAACCTACCTAGCCAAACTGCGTAAGTGGATGGTAGAAGAGGGTTTAGGAGGGATAACAAAAAGACAAAAATTATTAAGAACTAAAAAGGACAGGAAATTATGGAGAGCCGTGATCGCCAACGTTCTGAAAGGATACGGCACATAGAAGAATTTATACACTGAAACTACGTGAATAAAAATATCTAAGTTTTCAAATTGTGAATGCACCAAAATATTCTCAAAGCTGTATAAAGCAAGATAAACTATGGAGGACGATAAGTGACGTGATTTTTCGGCATGTTAAATGAAAGTGAGATAATGTTGTTGCTATTAATATTATGAGCATATTTATTATCTGTTACTTTATAGTGTGTATATAATCTCATTTGCAACATCCATAGTTTATGTGTGGATATCGTAATATAAATTTCTATTCTAAATACCTCATTAGTATTATGACTGAATGTCTTGTTTTGTAATGTGGTTATTAAAAGTATCTTTTAATGCGTAAGATGTAAGTTCTTAAGTAGCAAGCCTCAAGTCACGTGTTTTTTGTTTGTCAAAAGAAGTGATTTCAACATTAACAACTGAATAAGGTTAATCCCAAAATATTCCCTAGGCATTTAACGAAGAGTAATGCCACTGAGCACAGGGGGACATCACTTATAGACTAGTGCTTACTAAATAGTCTCCCTGACTTCTTCTTCTTCTTCTTCTATGCGCCGTGTCCCTTCAAGGCGTGGATTATCATGGCTCTCCACAACTTCCAGTGTCTCACTGACTAATGTTAATGAAATAGTCTGTATTTACCCGGGTCTCCTCACTGAGACGAGATGTGTATTTACTTGACCCCCCCCCCACTGAGTTAGGTTGTGACACAAGGTCAGTTTTTAACGTGGGACCCGGAGATGTGATCCAAAGTCGGGGGTTTTCGTAGGGAACCCGAGCGCGTACACCCGGGCCAAGGACAAAAACTGTCCCGCCCCGGCAACCATCGGTTGCGCTGGCATCTGTATGACTACCGACCCTGCTCTCTTGCGCAATGGGTGGTGCAGCCTCGTGCAGCTGTTCCCCGGGAACGGACACTTCACAGTATTTATTTTCTGAAGCTGCGTCGCTGCCCTAAGATGATTATCATCTATCAGTTGAGACGCAACTGATAGAGGATAATCATCCCACCGACATGTAATAGTCTGTTGTTCAAACAAGGTCCATGATATTACACAATATAGAAGGCTGTGTCGAAACATCGTTTGTTCCAGTCAACTTCAACATAATTTAATAATAATCATTACTTGATCCTTTCGTAGAAATGAACGATCCTATCGTAGAACGGTCCTTGCGTAGAAATGAAATAACAGATCAAACAAAATAAGTACCGTATTTGACGGCATATAAGACGCACGGGTGTATAAGACGCACCCCAATTTCAGCAGAGCAAATTAAAAAAAATGAATAATTCTAAAATTAGTAAACCTACATATGGCATATAAGACGTAGGGAATTTTTAAAAATATTTTTAGTAAAAAAAAGTGCGCCTTATATGCCGTCAAATACGGTAACACTTAAAAGATTTTTTTCTATGACAGGAAGATTTTTTAAACCAAATTATCATCTTTCGAAATGACACCGTTTCATGAGGCTATATTTAGATAACAGTTCCATCTTTTATTTTCAATTTCAGACATCAAAACAAAAAGTTATCCTAAAGCTTACACTTCAAATCAGAAAGAGACAGTTAAAATTTTTGAGACACATAATGAGGAAAGAGGACTTGAAGAATAAAACACATATTGTAGTGGAACGGCTCTTCAATCTCCAATCCTTAACCGTTATCCATTTCCCCACCCGCACATCCAACACCTGGTATCCACAAGCGGTCACCCATCTTGACTACTGAACAGGTTCGACGTTGCTTAACCTCAGTGATCGTACGAGAACCGGTGTTTCAACGTGATATGTGCGCGGGACTGTTAGTCAACAAGACCAGCTATCGTATTTTAATATTAATCTTTTAATTAATGTCTTTTATTGTTTACCTCCAAGTAAAACGATAATGCCACTGGGACACGCGGCAGGGTTACAGGGAGTGAAATAGAATGAGAAGACTCTAGTGGGGAGGATTGAGGAAAAAAGAAAAAACGGAACAGGTTTAAAAAAAAAACAGAAGGTGAGGACTGACGTTACATTAAAATTTTTGAAGATTGTAGTTGGCAAGGAAGCAAGAAATAGGAAGGGAGTTTCATTGGTGATAAGTTCGAAATAAGAAACTGATAGTATGCAAGTGCCGGTTGCATCTAGCAAGTTCAACAGAGAGACCTAATTGCCAATCTAGTAGCACGTTTAAATTCATGTAGTCGAGGCACTAGGAAAGCAATATTTATTTTGAATAATACAAAAAGGTGGTACAAGGCCAAAGTGGTGGGGGGATAACGGAAGGCTGGTCTGTCTTGTCTTAAACTAGCCACAATTACTGATCCAAATATACTAGATAATTCCTTACACCAAACAACACATTCTTACTTACCATTCTTACTGCAGCCACCATAATGCCTCAAAGTCTCTATGAAGTACTAACTAGTTCACATATGTACAGTTTGTCGTAAGGGGAGGGGGGATAAAAATTACAACTTTGTAAAAATGTAAAAGAAAGCTCATCGGAACAGTAGCCATTAATATATTTGTAAAAAATACAGAGCGAAGCCACATCACGTCGGCGAGAAAGTGACTGAAGTCGAGATGACTGGTCGTGATCGATAACATTACAGACACTACTTTGAATTTTGTCAAGAATCTTGAGGTATACAATTGAGATATGGTAACAATATTCAACGCAACGACGAATGGTAGATTTATACGAATTCAATGTCTAAATTAATACAGTTGAAAATACAAATATATTAGAATTTATAATTACTCCAAGGAAAACTCTACTTCATTGACTTTCATTAATTTATCACTTTGATGAACTGTGTTACAGTTTCTGTTTGAATTTCTCAGATAAGGAATTATCATAGTTTACATTATATTTATTTGGATTAATGACCTTATCTTTGTTAGTATTATCACAACGTTTCAGCCGTTGTGCGTCCGGCCTTATTCAGATGTCTGGCGATCCGGGTAACTTTCCAGTGAATGTATTTAATTAATCCACAAACACCTGAAGAAAACTGAATTGCACGACGCCAGAAACAAAGGCGATGACATTAGTCCGAACTAAAATAATGTAAATAAATCGTTACTGTTAAACTTGCAAATATCCTCATATAGAATATAAGAGTGTTTGTGTGTGTGTGTGTGTGCGCGCGCAAGCGCGTGGGGTGGTATTTTAATCCACATGCAATGACTTATATTTGGTGGGTACCTTTTTAATAACGTATACTAAGTATTTGGTATAAAATCTCAGAATGCCGATCGAATTTTCATTATCCATTCATCGAGATGGGAATTTTTAAATTTAGATTTCTTTTTGTTATCGGGTTGGATTATTTTCAGTCTTTTATTTATAATGGAAATTGTTTTCATTTATAAATAACAAATAAGGTTACTCAGCTTTGTCAGGACAACAAAAACCATTTGAAGTTCATTAACTTTTCTTTGCTAATTTGGTCTGCTTGACATTTAATACTGAACTTAATCAAATATGGAACAAAGAGAAATTTTATTAAAAATAGGTGAAACGTGTTTCAGTTTCTTTTTTCAAATTCAAGCGAAAAATGAATATCGAAGTTCAATGTTTTATATCTTTCAGTGATTTGCTGAAAAATGGTTATTTAAATATTAAATGTATTAAGTTTTCTTTTTTTTTAAATAATTTCACCCCGTGCAAGGCAATATAGCCACTAAGACGCAAGGAGTTACTGAATGTGAGAGAATACGGAAAAAAACCATTATTAAGGAAAAAGAACAATAAAACAACAGGAATTAAGAAGACAGAAAATAACGATTAACATTGCATTTAAATTTTTGAATATCAAATGCAATGATAACGGCTCGGACTTTGAAACTGGAGAGCCGTGTTCCAATTCCAGTCGGGTTCATTATATTTACTTTAGCGCAAATACTCTTGGGAAAGGTATCGATCTACCTCTTCTCCCTCCAGCTATGGGTTAATTAGTAAGACTTATATCAGTAAAACATTATTATCACCCAAAAAATTCTTACAGTCTAAAAATATTTTCTGGCTTTAAATAACCTGCAAAAACATGATACACCTTTAAAAACCAAATCACTCAATGTCGTTCAGTCCAATTCTCTCTTTCTAAGCCACGTGTGTCAGCTTTTTAGATATTGTTTTCTTTTTCTTTTCTTTTCTTTTCTTTTTTTTTTTTTTTTTTTGCTCGTTTGCTTTTATTTATTTGTTTGCTTATTTTTTACTAATTTCATTTTCTTTTCTTTGTACGTTTTTTTTTCTTTTTTTACTAATGTTTTTACAATTCACGGTTTATTGTTTAACCTATATGATCCGCGCACTAGCCTCGTTAGATTTAAAAACAAGTCCGTTCAATACTATTGCTATTATTTAATTTTTTTGCCATGAATGCATAAGACAAATCGAGTAGCAAAAAATGATACATCTCTATGTTTTTTTTTTTTTTTTTTTAAATTCAGTTATTTATTTATTTGTTGCACGTTCTGTAGTCTACCTTGGAGCTATACCAATAAGTGCATATTAAAAACATTTATAGATCTATATTGAATGTGTGCCAGTGAAACTGTAAAGGCAAGTAGATCATTTTGATTCAGACATTTTCGAACATTGCCTTATAGATTGGAGATTAGTTATCAAAACCTTGAGCAAAATACAATGCTTTTCACTAATAAACGCTAACGTCTGTTTTAATATCTAATTGTGAATAATTTTATACTTAAGTAAAATGAAGTCATACATACTATTCAGGTTAGAGGTGGAGTTAAGGGTCTTACAACCATAGCACGTTGAAACACCGGTTCTCGTATGATCACCGAAGTTGAGCAACGTCAAGCCCGGTCAATACCTAGATAGGTGGCCGCTTAGGAATTCCGGGTGCTGTAAGCTTGAATGTGCGGGTGGTGTAATGGATAGTCAGTCAATTATGTGCCATGCGTGATACACGCTTAAGCGATCATGTATCTTTCGATACATGACTGACGAGGCAGATTTTTCCCGCAGTAGGTTGCCATTTCTTTCTGCGGTAGATCAGTTGCCATCCAAACCCGATCTGTCCTGCTATTTACACATAGCTGGGGGAAGAAGAAGAGGATTCATACCTTTCCCAATGGTATTAGCACTTAAGTGAATGTAATGGATTCGACTACAATTCAATCTCGGCTCTCCGATTTCTCAGTCCGAGCCACTATCCACAACGGCTCTGAATTGTTGATTGGAGAGCCGAGTTCCAATTCCAGTTAGGTTCTTTCTATTCACTTACGCGTAAATACCTTTGGAAAAAGTATGAATTCACCTCTTCTCATCCCAGTAAGGGGTTAATTAGTAAGACTTGCGTCACTAAAACCATTATTATCTCCAAAAGCATAAAAATTGCGTACAAAACAATTTCGGCATTAATGAACCCATAGAGGTGTTGATATGTCGCTAAACAAGAACAACCAAACAATCGAAGTTAAGAAAAAATCATCATCACGATCAAAATTTCAAAATGCATTTTCAAATACCAACGTGATACCTCTTGAAGTTTGTTCTTTTTTTCTACTTTTTTAGCTATCAATTTCCAAAAGCTAGCTTATGACGAAACGACATTATCTTTAGGGCAACAAATTGCATTATGCGTTAAGCTTGCCTAAGCTTCGTTGAGGTTGGTTTATTATTCATATTCGGCTGGTTTTAAAACAACGAAATCAGATTAAAGAAAAAAATAACTATTGAAAACGATAAAGAATGGCAATACTTCAAGTCAGAAATTCGAGCAACTTCTATTCCCGCTCTTTTCACGCTGAAAACATCGGTTTTCGTTCGATCACCGAATGTCAGTGTACTCAGTAGTTATATGGGTGGGGACAGCTTGGCAACACCGGGTGCTGTAAGAAACGCCCGATAATCCGAAATATGTTTCATCTTTAAATAATCCACACAGGGTTGATAAACCGTCAAAAAACGAATTAGTAAACTTGGACCATCGTGCTCGCAAAAAACAAAAAAAAAAAAAAAAAAAAACGATGTGTCAAAAGGACAGTTTTTCCATTTACACCGCTATTTTTTTTTTTAACTACTTTCATCCAATCGGTAATGCTTATTCTTAAAAGCAATGATTAGAATTATAATAAAATAAACATATGATGAAAGTGAATTTATACATTTTTTCTTTGGTTCTTGAGAATTTACAAAAATATTAACTGCTATTTATTTATTAAATTGTTTATTTACAAGAATAATTTTATATTTACAACATACTAAAAACTAATACAATTAAAACTAAAGAAAATCAATATTTATCATTTACCAATTTATAAAGAAATAAATATGAAAACAATTTCTTATTCATAAATTTATAAACATTTACTAAATTATGAAAATATGTGAACCAACTATTAGGAAATCCTTATTATTTACCATTTTATAAAGTTCGAATTAATTGGCAGTTAGCCAGTGTTTTGCCAACCTTTTCAATAAACAGTCTAATAAATATATAGTGTTTAATAATTTTGTTGTCAATTCTCAAGAACAAAAAAAATATATGAATTCTCTTTCATCATATGTTTACATTTCATTACAATTCTACTCATCGCTTTTAAAGCATTAAACATGGCCAAGGGTTGAAGGTAGATAAAATAATAGCATTGTCAATGGGAAAAAAAATAGTCCTTTTGACACCCTGTCCTATTGCGGACGCGAATGTCGAAGTTTGCCAACTAATTAATCAATCTTTCTCTTCTTAGCACATCTACGAGAGAGAGAGAGTGAGAGAGACACACACACATACACGCACACACACGCACACACACGCACATACACACACACAAACATGAGTGTTCAAATTATTATGCATTTATTTTTATATAGAATTATCAATATTTCTTTGGAAAACAGTTATGGATCTCATTTATGCGAAATATCAGCACGCGTTTCGTTCATACAAAAAGATTTCAATCTTGTCATATTTATAGAAGTTTATTTGCTGTGGGTGTTAGCCAGAATACCATACAGTTTGTCAATAAATCCTAGAACAGTGACAAGCGAATGATCGTAAATATATATAAAAGCAACACATATATGAAAGGGTTCAACGATCCAGCTATAAGCACTTATCAGCTAGCTTCTAGCATTATAATGGATAAAAAGAATTTGAAGCTTTGGATATCTTTAAATATAAAATAAAATAAAAAAAATTAAATATAAAATACAAATCCCGTCTAGTTTAAATACAATATTTTTTTAAATAAAAAATAGTAATCCCCATTTAATATATGGACTGCGCCAGCTAGTTTTATTATAATTTAAATTATGTAATAGTCTTTTATTAGAATTTAAATTATGTAATAGTCAGTCTCTATTCAGTACCTGAACATTGCACTAAGCATGAAACACCGATGCGTGTTACGGGTGAAGGATATTATTTATATTTATTAATATATACTTAATAGCTCTGTTATATTACATCGAGCACTATTTTATTAACACCAGTGCTCAAAGTGCGATATCTTATATTCATATTGCCCACCGTAACGAGACTAACGACAATATTGACATAAAAAAATGATACTCTGGTAAAAGGAGAAAATAATTCACTACAACGAAAATATCTAGAGAGTGACTTGACCGCAAGGTCATCTACAATAAATTTGCGCACTGGACCTTACAACATTTCACCATTCCTGGCAGATCTTCTATTATCACAGCGTGGGATATCAAATGACAAAAGGGATGGAAAGGAAAAGAATCTCAATGAAATTGGCTACATTAAAATAATATAATTAAAAAAAAATTAAATTGAAAATATTTAAAAGTTCCCAGCATAACCTCGTTCGTGTACATGTGTATACGCACCAACATAGCAAACTTAGTCGATGAAGTATTAAAGGACACATAAAAGTTCTGTCACTTTGTCATACATTTTTCCCCAATATTGTTCTTTATATATATATATATATATATATATATATATATATATGAAGAAATATAGTCTTAAGATGTGCTATATTTATGGGATAAAGTGCTTAGTCTGTTTCATACTAGATGTAATCGTCAGGCCACGATTGTATCTAGCATGAAATAGACTGTCGCCTCTAAGTGTTGACTTCTATGTTCAATTTTTTATTTATATATATATATATATATATATATATATATATATAAACTGTCAAGATATATATATATATATATATATATATATATATATATATATATATATAAACTGTCAAGATTATATATATATATATATATATATATATATATATATATATATATATATATATATATATATATATATATTGTCTTATAAAGATTTTTTTTTTTTATAATGTTTTTAGTCCCTCCAAGCTGGAAAAAATTGCTTGACATCAGTATTTGCGATTTTAAACATTTGAAATAGAGCCCAAACGCAAGTATTAACTTTCCATCACGCAATTAACTAATCTGGATATGGTAAATTTAATTTAGATGCCCTGAAATGACATCTCTTCAAAATTCCATTTACGCCTTTGAAAGAACTGACACAAAATCCTCAAGCACGCAATAGCACTTAAAAGTTGTAAGTTAATGGTTAGAATACGGGACACCAATTACAGAGGTTTGTGGTTTGCACTAAATGATTGACGCCTCATACAAAATCATGATTTGTAAGCCAGTTAAAAGATTATATCTACGTTAAATACGGTTTATACAAAGCATAAGTATTCTTTGCCAACAATCCATTTATATTAAACATTTGTATTTCTTTTATTTAATTTTATTAATGCTTTGTTTACTTCTTAATTCTGTTCTCTCTCTTCTGTTATTGATTCTTGATTTGTTTTTTACGGGCTATCAACCTTTTGTAGGTTAATTAAACCCAGTAAATATTTTCAGAGTGAAAGAACTTTTGGAGACAATAATGATTTACCTCTACAAATCCTACTAATTAACCCATAGCTGTGGGAGAAGAGGTAGATTCGTACATTCCCAATATTATTTGTGCAGAGGTGAATATAATGAACCCAACTGGAATTGGAACTCGACTCTCCGATTTCCAATTCCGAGCCATTATCCATTATCCATTACACCACACGCACTTATAGCACCTGGTATTCCTAAGCGGTCACTCATCTAGGTACTGACCAAATCCGACGTTGCTTAACTTCTGTGATCGTATGGAAACTGGTGCTTGACCGTGATATGGCCGTAAGACCATTATACTATTCGCACATCCAAGCTTACAGTACCTGGTATTCCCAAGCGGTACTGACTAGACACGACTTTGCTGTGGAATATTGAGATATATATGCATATAATCGTAGACGTTAAGCGAAAAGTTAAATTAAACTTCTAAGTTAATGTTTTATCATCAGTTTCCAATCTGGACTAGTCTATTTGAAAAGGTTTAAAACAAAATTGGTGCGTGAGAGAGACTGTATGAAAATAGATCCGAGACTGAATTATTCGTTGACTTGCAAATGAGAAGATAAAAATGGCGCCTGGGAAATTGCTTTCGTTTGCTTTGTGAAATGAACGTTTTTATTTTTCTGAGATTTTAAAATGAAATATATTCAGTGCGATTTGACTAATTTTAACATATAATTCTTTCGCTACTCACTTTTCTCGACCAAAAATCTTCGCCTGGAAAAATTCTGTCGGCTCTCTTTGCAAGAAAAAAAGATGCTCTTATTTACGATAACTTGCGATTTCGATTTTACGACTGCTTGCGTAATATATAATAAGTTGAGTCATAAGTAATATAATAGGTTATATAATATATAATAGGTTGAGTCATAAGTAATTTACGTTTTGGGGAACCAGTTGTAAGGAATATTATTCTTCTTTATGTGCCGTGTACCTTCAGGACGTAGGTGATCATCGCTCTCCACAACTTTCTGACCCTTGTAGCTCTTAATAAATTTTGTCTTTCTTCTATTTTTCCTGATTCCTGTTCTGCTATCCATTTAGTCAAGCTCACTCAATATTTTCAGTTTTTTCAGTTATTTTCTCTGTCCCGCTTGCCCTCTATCTGCCCCGTGAGTATCAGATTTTCCAAGCCCTCCTGTCTCATTATGTGGAATTTACGTAATAATGGAACGGTAAAATGGCACCGCTAAAAATGTCATGTGGAAAAATAGGAAAAACACTCGCCATCTGATAATAGCTGATCTTATAATTTGTTTTGTATACATCTATTCTTGGAAGCAAATCTTCTCTTTTCCTTTATTACTTAATATAACTTTCATGATGGGATTGTGCTGGGAGATAAGATCAATGTTGTGTAATTGACGTTTCCCGGAAAATTGAACCAGAAGTAAATAAACAGACAACAACTGTCCTCTGATTAGAAATTTAACTTTAAATAGCTTAAAATTAAAAATCTGTTTTTAAGCTGTATAAAGAGTCTGTTTTTCACCATTTTTCTATCTTCCTATCTTTTCTGTTGGGCCATTATTAGCTGTGTCATTATTACCGTGACATTATTAACTGTGCCATTATTACTTGTGCCATTATTATCGTGATATTATTACCTGTGCCATTATTACCATGACGTTACTACCTCTGCCATTATTACCTGTGCCATTATTACCATGACGTTACTACCTCTGCCATTATTACCTGTGCCATTATTACCGTGCCATTATTACCTGTGCCATTATTACCGTGCCATTATTACCTGTGCCATTATGACCGTTCATCCATTATGTGCTCCAGAAACCTCCACTGTCTCTTCCTGGTGTTAAGTATTAATTTCCTTTTTGTTTCCATTTTCTCCAAAACTTCGTTGTTTCTCACAAGTTGGGCATCAACCTCAGTTAAACATTCGTCAAATGTATCATAACAGGTGATGAAAAGTGGGTTAAATACGACAATGTTCAACGCAGAAAACAAGAAATATATCTCTACAAATAACCCAAAAGCTGAGCTCCATGAAAGAAAGGAAAGGTTTTACAGGTGGTGGGATCGTTGGAATGTTATTCACTTAGAGTTCTTAAAAGGCAACGTAACACTAAATTCACATTTATATGTCCAGTAGCTGTAACGTGTCCAGAAATGTTTAGTTAAAAACTGTCCTGCACTTTTCTATAAGGAAAACACTGTTCTTTTCTATGGCAACTTAGGGCCGCTTACAGCAAGAATAATGAAAAAAAAAAATGGAATTTGTTCATCTGACCTTGAAACGGTTATTATTATATTTGATCGTTGCAAAATGTTTGGGTTAGGAAAATTTTCTCTTATGAAAACCAGATTCTGAACTTTTTCACATCAAAAGCTATTGAAGTGTTGGCTCATAACTGGAAATAAGTCATTGTAAACAATGAATATATCTATATCTATAATTCTCAAAATTTGTGTGTATGTATATATATATATATATATATATATATATATATATATATATATATATATATATATGTGTGTGTGTGTGTGTGTGTGTGTGTGTGTGTGTAATCAGATATTGTTTATGCATTTCCAGTTTTCATTCGATTTCAATTAATTTTTTTTATCTGATAGATAATTCTTCAGTGCTGGTTTTGAGTCCAAATTGTTGGCAACAATGGCTCTCCACTACTTCCTGTCCATTATAACTCTCAGCAACGTTTTACTATTTACTATCTGTTCTTGGATATATATATATATATTTCATAAAAAACTTTGATAAAAATATATAGTTTAAATTATTACAATAATATTATTTATTATTATACAGTTCCCTTTTCAGTGACACCCCCATTCAAATTGTTAACCCCCCCCCACCCATTTGGGGATGTGCCTCAGTTGCACCCAAATGTTGTTACTAATATTGATTTTCGAGTGGGCTGAATTTAAACTTAAACTGTTCCAATTGAACGGCAAAAATTCCCAGTAATGAAAGACCCGGTCGAATATGGGTTATACTGCCCGTAACTCGGCCACCTCGAGGTGGTGTAATGGCTAGCAAACTTGTTTCGCTAGAACAATTACAACTGAGTAGCGAGTTCAATCCTCACTGGGTGCTTCTTATATTCTTCGTTGTGCCAGATCCAAGTAGAAGATCACTCTACTGACAGTAACTGAATAAAATGTAATTGTCCTTTTATTTATCTATTTTTTTGTTGAAGAATAAACGAAAACGGAAATTATTTTTGACTCAATCTCGTATTTATGGTTGGAACTTCGAGACAGAGAGAGACTCTGAAAGGCGAGAAACATAAGGTATCACGTCAGATCTGCAAGCTACTTTTCGATATGTATAGAAAAGGTTCGATTTTTCATTGATTCACAAGAATCTTTATCTTATCGATCAAGCTAGAACTTTCAGTGAAACATTTTAACGTCGATAGTTTGACTTGGAAAATTCACTTCAAAGCCGTGAGGATGTTAGAAACAAACATTTAATTATTTTAATATTGAAACCCAATATTTTGTGTATTTAAGCAATTATGTACACACACACACACACACACACACACACACACACACACACACACATATATATATATATATATATATATATATACACACACACACACATTATATATATATATATATATATATATATATATATATATATATAATTTATTTTGCTTAAATGTTATTTTAGATGGATATTCTTATTCGAATAAATGATCTGTTTATTTAATTAAGTACTATTTTTTTTAATTCAGTGCTATAACAGTTTTTGGTAATGTTGTTCCGATCTCTAGTTGTTACATTATCTGCATTAAAGGCTCCATAGATCCACCATTAAAGGCTCCATAAACCCACCTCTCTGCAGCAGTAAAAACTATAGCAAAAATTATTGCAGTATTAATAGCAGAAATTATATTTATAATTTATGATTTTGTCTGCTGATCTGACAGATAAATCACTGAGTTTATTCCCTCCTAAAATTTAACGACTAGACTAGACATTTTGTTAACCAGTCTACCAAACTGTCCTAAAGTTTCAATCAGGTTTAAAAGTGACCGCGTGAAAAGTCAATAATATAAACATGTCGGTTCTTTAATTGACTAAATTAGTATAATTATGGTAGATTCGACTTAGAACTATTCTGTTCTATAGAGATTGTACACGCTTTGCACACCCGTATAGAGTCATCGGTCTATTTGGCTACTTGCAAACATTTCCCAAGAATAACGCTGTTAACTGCATTCAAAGTTTGTTCATCTGTACAGGACAGTAATAGAAAAATACAGCTGGGCACATCGATGAAATATAGTGGTTAGCAAATTTCTTGCTAGTTCCAAAAATAGGAGTAGATAGATTCGTCTATCGTCCGCTTCACACTCCTCCCCGTTTTTTAACAGGGGTAAAGTTATATCCCTTGTTTCAAGTTTAGGATTGAGTTTCCGGTTCCTTTTTAAAAAAAATTTCATTCTCTTTCACTCTCCCTTGTGTTTTAGTGGCATTATCACCTTGCCTGGGGTGAATTGATTAAAAAAATACTACCGTGTTAAATCCTCACTGGTGGCGTCATACTTACGGTATTAGACATGCCACATCTAATCCACGCTTAGTAAATTGCAATAAAAAATTAGTTTTTATAGGAACTACTCTTATAAAAACTATCCGAATGTCTAATCGGGTTTTATATTTACATATTGTTTTATTTACTTTGTCGTTTAATATTTTTACTGTTTTGTGGTGAAAGCAAATAAAACTTTCTTTTCGGTTAGCTTAATATTATTTTGCTAGTGTCGTATACTTTTCTGATCACTAATCGGCAAAGTATTGCTCTTGTAACGCTTTGCAAAATGTCTTTGTTGTGTTTATTAAAACTATCACGACGTTCTTCCTCTATCAATGCATATCACATATCTCTCTATTTGGGTGCAGCATAAAAAAAAATGACTTAGTTAAAAAAAAAAAGAGCAAAATTCTTTTTCTTCTTTTACTATTCATCAGCGTAAAGAAAAATATACCACTATTCAAATCAATTCATTGTGATATCTTTGTATATTTGAGGGAGTTGTTCGGAATAACCTTGTAGCGTTTTTTATAATCAAAGTAAATCTTAGTGATCATTTCTAAAACAGTTTTCATATCCTCTTCTTCATGTTTCATTTTAACCCCTATCCTCCAGGCGTCTGTTTTCTCTTTTTCTTTCCATATATTTAAATTATAGTTATAAACTATAGTTTTGGAAAATTCCAAATTTTTTTAAAATTCCACTGAAATACCGAATGTAACAACAAAATTGTCCAAATCGTGTAAAAGCAAAATTGT